TACAAATATGTTATTAAATTTTATATTTCTGTATATTTGTCCATTTTTATACGTTATGTATGTTTCAATATTGATAATTGAATATTGATTTTAAACAAAACCCATTAATTTTAATTTTCTTCATTTTTTCTGTATTTTACATGAGACAAAGAAATTTTTATTTCCAAAATAATTTATCAATTCTGAACATGATTTGTTTTTTAATCGTGAAAAAACTTCCAATAATTATTGTTTAAATGAAAAAAGATATAATTCGAGAATTAAGAATTATTTAGCAATTTTTCGAATAAAATATTATTAAATTTTGATTATATTAAAATATTATTATTGATAATATATACATTCAATTATAGCATTACGTGTTTTTAATTTTAAAATAATTTATTTCAAAATTCATATTCATATAATGAATTATTAAATTTTACTGTATTGATTTAATTGATTTTCTACTTTAAATGGAATATAAGTGATGAAACTGAATTTATGTATAAATATATTTAAAACGAATATACATTATAAAAAATCATATCATTATCAAACCATAATAAACTAAATCTTAGATTATATACAAGCAAACTGCTAGCTATGCAATGCATTAAATTTTCTTTAGAAATCTTTTCATAACTATATGTATCATATACATCATCTTCTATGATTAAATTCGATATAAATCTTATATCAGTTAAAAAAGTAGATCGTTATGGATACTAAGAAATACTTTGATCTTTTTTAAATATTTTAAAACATGATGCAAAGTCCATAAAATGAAAAATATATATATCCTATCACACTGTATCACAATATGTATATATATATATAATTATATATATAAAGTTTAAATTCACTCATTTAGTCGGTTTTTTCGAGTATCATTTCTTTTTCGATAATTCTTACTTCCCATAGTGAATCGTATATACGACGTGATTCATGGCTAAGAGCAAACACACTTAGCAATTCGTTTTATTAAACGATAGCTTTAGAAAAACTTAACGTTTCAAAATTTTCAAATAAACTTATAATTTGTTTCATAATATAATTTTTTGCGGAAAATTATATATTTTTTTATAGAATAAAAAAAAACTTTTACGTATTTTGTATTCTAATAGTTATTGCATTTTTATTATGTTCTCAATCATATAACATAAATTCTGAAACATTTATCTGTTAATAATGTACTAACAATAAATTTATCTAAATATAAATATAAAATGTAATCTATTTTTCAAGAAAAATAACATTTTTAGCTCATATTTCTTTATACATAGAACTACTCTATTAAAAGCATGCAGGAAGCTAATGTGTTTTAAAAGAACTAAGTGATCTGTTCATTATCATAGTAAATAATATCTATGTAATGCATATTTACATAATTCTGATAAATGTAATATGCTGTGAGATAAATTTCAAAGTCTTCTTTTTATAATCTACCGGTCCAATTTACAAATATTAATACAAAATTTATTGAAATTTTAGAAATATACTTAGAATATATTTAATCTTAGAATGATAAATTATTTTTTCTAAAATATACAATAACTCTTGTTTAAAGTATTTTTTTCAAAAGCAAAAATTATTAAAACAATAATGACAAATATCTTCTTAAATCGTAAAAAAATTTGAAAAAATTAAAATGTAAAATTGTGTATTTCTTTTTATGTTTCTCTCTCCTGCTCCAATCCCTTTTATCCTCTTTCTCTCTTCTTCTTCTGTTTACAATCTCTCGTCAGTTATTCATTGTTGAACGTTAAGTAATTGAACGATGCCTCAAAACGAAATAAAATAAATCGTCATACTTTGGACGAAATTTTTGCTTCTTATAAAATAGAATTTATTCACATTCAAGGTTAAAAAAAGAATGGAAAAAAGAAATCAATAATTATTATTATTTTTGATAGATTTGATTTATAAATGTTTTACGGAATAATTTTTGAATTGATGAAATTCAAACAAAACAGGATTCAAAAATTCTCAATATAGATTTTGGTTTGATTCTCTTTCTCTTTTTCTCTTTCTCTCACATACACACGCACGTACTCTCACTCTTCCACTCTCTTATTTACTCACTCACTCATTCACTCTCTCTTCCCTCTCTCTCTTTCTCCCTGTCTATTCTTTCTGTTTCCCTTTCGATTTCTTGCAATCGATTTACGAAAAATCATTGCAACACGTTAAATATAAGTTAGAATGAAAAAGAGAGAAACATATGAAATAATAGAAAAAATTAGAAAAGACAACAATGTTCGTTGTTCTAAGTTTAGTAAGTATGTCCGAGCCACGAGCGAAAAGCAACGTTGTCAACGAATCGATATCCGGATGGGCGTGGCCTTGTCGATCCTCGCGGATGCTATAACGTGGAATTTCTCGATGGGATCGCAAAATTATCGTTCGTAAAAATTTAATTTACTAAAAATTAAATTCGAGATGAACACCGCGTTTATTTGACCACTTAACGCCCAAGTTTCTTTGCAGTTTTATCAAAACGGAATTTATTTAATTTTCGTTTGCTTTTTTTGCTTTATGTATTACAATATTAATTTCTAATCAGAATCGTTTTTTAAGCAGAATTCAAATAATCTCGATGTTATTAAAAATCTTTTTAAATCATTTTACTTTTGAGTTTTTTTTTAATCACTTTGTCCAATCGTTATATTATGTATATATATTTCTCATATATAATATTTCTGAATTTTGTCAGTTTTGTTATAATTAATTTCATATAATAATATTAAAAACAAGATTATATCGTTTCTGTATCATTTCTGAATTAATAAAACATAATAGGAGTTGAAATTACTTATTTAAAAAAATATTAAAAGATTCAGTTGAAAAAAAAAAAAATTTGATCAGCGTGAGTAGGACGTTCCAGAAGCCTAGTTGAAGCATCGAAGAACCGATTGGAAAGGACTGACAGTGTTCGGAGTAGTGAAAAGAAGAAAGGACGAACGATAGAAGAGAGGGGGATGAGAAAAGGGAGCTTGGAACATGATGCATAGAGAGGGGAGGGCGGAGTAAGGTCAGAGGAAAAGACAGGGGACAGTACGCGAGAAGAGTATTCGCAGCATGTGGTCTCGTCAACCCTCTTGCACGCTTTTCTTTTCACTTATCTCTGTTGCCTCTCTTTCAAGGCCTATGTGTACCTCGTGTTTTCGTCTACCTTCGCACACCGATTTCGTACTTTCATTACCGTTGCTCCATTTGAATTTCCCCTTGGGTTCAAAACTTACTTTCTACCTCACCTACCTACCTCTCTTTGTAAATACTAATTGCTCTATACAAACATCCGAAATGTACTTAACGTTTTCCTTGTCTGTGCAAACTTCCAAGGAATTTTTTGTCTTTTTCTTTTATACGTCTTTTTCTTCATTTTTATTATTGTGTATCCATTAATTATGTTTACACATCATTTCTTTTCTTTCTATTTTTAATATATCTTTTCATTCTTTTTCAATTTTCATTTTTTACGTAAAACATCAACATAAAAATACAAAGCAATATACCTTCTTTTTCTCATTTAAATTTTTTCAAATAATTTGTTTACCTCTTTCATCTTTCACCTTATCTTCTCTCTCCTTTTCAAATTATTTTTTCCAATACGAACAAATATATACAAATATGGATAGTATTCATATTTATGTTTGAAAATAAGTTAAAAATCTTCTCAATTATGCTCGCTATTTGTTATATAATATATATATACAATTATCGTAATAAGTAGCATAGATTATTGTGATAATACAAAGTAACAATATAAACGAATATATAGATTAAAATAGATGATAATTAATTGGATGTATTGAAAAAAAATGAAAGAAAAATTAGAGAGTGCTCATGAAATGGTCGGAGACGGCAGGTAGGGAAATCTGTAGTTACGTTACTGAACGACTACCCTCTAGCGATTCGCTAAGTTGCTAGGATACACCCCACGTTCGAACCCTCCCACGATTCGGCTATCGGTGCCCTTCTACCTTTCATCGCGTTGCTTTTACTGTAAGAAAAACATCAACCAGCTAAACTAGACGCAGATTCAAAGCAAAATTCTACCGTTCTAATTTACTGTTAATGCTTTTTCTTATTTACTCCTTTGCTCCTTTGCACGTAATCGACGTAAACGATTGTCAGCGTTTATCGTGTTAATTTTATATTAGGAATTATTCCATTCGATAAGTTTTTTTTTAATGACAAAAATTCTTTTTCTGTGGTAAAAAATTTAAAAATATGTTTCAAAGACGAACATAAAATACTAAAATTATGTTTACAAATATGCATATACACACATATATATATATGTTTTTCAGATTGCTAAGATCATCTAACAAAAATCTATTTAATTATTTTTCATTGTAATATTCATATATTAATAAAATGTATTCATCAAAATTTTAGACATATTATTATAAATTATTCCCAATATTTCTCTCGTCTAAGCCAAATTCACCATTGCTATTTAATTTAAGCATGAAATCAACTGCATTTATATGCTTTCATTAGATTTTAATGATCAGAACACTTTTCTAATCGATGAAATAACCGACCTGATATTTAAATTTTTGTACTTAGGGTTTCTCTTTCCAATATACATCTTACTCGTTTCGCAAGTATATCACGTATAGTATATTATATATATTCGCTACCTGGACAACTGTACTTTATAAAAACATCAATACAGCGCGCAACATTTTTATACAATATATATAATTTTTGAAGAAATCAAAATACATTGTATTATTAACATATGAGATGATATATTAATATAAATTAGAAATAAATATAAAAATATAAATAACACTTACCGTTTCCTTCTGAAGACCGGAAGTTGTTCCAGAATTTTTAGTAGTGACATCTTTCGTATTTGACGTGAACTTATCTATTCGACATGTACCGGTTTATTCGGTAACCGGTACTAACCCCAAACATGAAATCAAACACTTTATCGTAGACTATAACAAATTGTTTCACATCCACACTTTTTAAAGATTGCGATAACTCAATGGAATACCATTAAAATTTAATAATAATATGTAATTTAAGTAGAATTACTCATAAATATACGCTCAAAATGGCAACTCACGAACCAATCGTCTCTGCTTGTGCGTTTACAGTACTGATGTTAAGACTTTGTGGTCAAATTAACAACTATAAAATCGAAAATTCCTATCGCTTTCTTGATAAAATAAACAATAAATAAAACAACAAATAATATAAATCAATTATACGTGAAAGTAATCTTTATTATGTTATCGGTATGTATAATATAAAATTTGAAAATTATTATGTCGCATGTTGAAATTGATTAAGGTATGTAAAATCCGGCAGTCACAGGTCGGAGCGCCACTAGTGTCATGGCCTTTTCCTGTTCACGCTTAGTCCAAAGAAGACGTGAACGAAAGTTGTATGGTAAGGAATTCGAAAGTTCGATGTCTTTACCCGACCGGTTGTGTTGAAAAAGGTGATATTGAAAAATATTGAAAATTTATGAAAAGTAATTCGCGACCAAAACATATAATACGCTCTAGAATTTATCAGTTAAAAGTGTTCTCGGTCGACCACATGGCCACATGTCTTTATGATACTCATACACGTTTTATATCAACAAAGTTATGGCGTTTCATAAATAACATTCAAAACAATTATAAACGTCAAATCGAAAAGAAATTGTGTCTAATGTGCATGTTATTTCAAGTTTTCTGTTTTGTTATAATTTGTGTCAAATTTTGCATTTGAACTGAACAATGTTTATGTATCTTTTATTCATTTTATTTCTTTTTCTTCTTAATAATGTATTATATTAATTATCATACGACATGTACAAAGATTATTTGAATTCGTAAAAGATTATTTTTGAAGTATATTCGATAATTAATAATATTTTTTTAAGGAACAATTATTATTTGAACCAATCAATGCATCTATATAATAAATCTATAATCAATATATATTTTTCTTTATCCTTTAATATTAAAGATACTTTGCAACACATGACAATCTATATTAAATTTTCATTATATTATATTTCTATTTTATTTATTATATACAAATATATTAATTAACATTGATATCATCAAAATAATCTATAAAAAAATATATATATATATTTTAAAAAATATATATATGAGTTTTTAATGATAATTTATATTTTGTAGATAAATCATGGCTGAAATGGAAACATACGATGATATAGTGGTACCTACCACAACGACATTACCAGTGGCCCTTTCTGCAGAATTACCTGAAATTAAATTATTTGGTCGCTGGAATTGTGATGATGTACAAGTAAATGATATGTCTTTACAAGATTATATTGCCGTTAAAGAGAAAAATGCAAAATATTTACCACATTCTGCTGGACGTTATGCTGCAAAACGATTTCGAAAAGCTCAATGTCCTATAGTCGAACGTTTGACAAACTCTTTAATGATGCATGGTAGAAATAATGGGAAAAAATTAATGGCAGTAAGAATTGTAAAACATGCCTTTGAAATAATTCACCTGCTTACAGGTGATAATCCTCTACAGGTAATTAATATTTTAAGTCATTACTTTAACATTCTTATGTGGAAGTTACAATAAAAATACTTTTATATTCGAATAAAGGTTCTTGTGACGGCTATCATCAATTCTGGACCTAGAGAAGATTCTACGCGTATTGGTCGCGCTGGTACAGTTAGGAGACAGGCGGTGGACGTTTCTCCATTACGACGAGTAAATCAGGCTATTTGGTTGTTATGTACAGGTGCTAGGGAAGCCGCGTTCCGTAATATTAAAACCATCGCCGAATGTTTAGCTGATGAACTCATTAATGCTGCCAAAGGTTCGTCTAACTCTTACGCGATTAAAAAGAAAGACGAACTCGAACGTGTTGCTAAATCTAATCGATAAATATGTTTACTCGTATAAAAACATAAAAATAATGATCTATCTTTAAAACGAATTTTGTATATCTTATATCTCTCTCTCTCTCTCTATATATATATATATATATATATATATATATATATATATATATA